AATATCCTCCTACCAAATATTTTTCTCTTTTTACATTTTCTGAGAGGAGCTAAGAGTTTCATTCTCCTAAAATATAAACATGATCTTCATCTCCCCCTTGCCCAATCCACTTTTTTTCTGAATATCAAATTCTATGCATGAAAGTGTATTTCTATGATTCTATCTAATTTCTCCTCTCTGCCTTAGATAGAACAATCTCCATTCTGGTTCTCATTGTTTCCTTCCTTCACACTTAGAAATCTCTTCTTGAGTTTTAAATTCTCCCTCCAGTGGCTCTTCTATAACTCACTGTACTCTCTCATAGGACTACATACTTCTATTATTCACCATTTAATACTATTCTTGTTTCAAAGAATGCAATAGCTAAGTTTGTTTTATCAAAATACATAGGCAGTTGATGATGGAGTTATAGTACCATGGATAAGGCATTTGCCTTGCATGTGGCCAACCTAGGTTACATCATTGACACCTCATATAGTCCCCCAAAGTCACTAGGAGTGATCCCTGAGTGCAGACCCAGGAGTAAGCCCTGAGCACCACTGGCTGTAACCTAAAAAAATACTTTGACAGTTGTATTCTTGTCCTATAAATGTTCTGATAATGTCTTACCTTTCAAATTAGGAAGTAAACTTCATTTTAAAAACGGTACTATTTCAGAATCTCATATATCCCAAATAAGAGAAAAGTTAGGTAGTTTTTGGTTACTGTTAACCCTTTCCATCTTTTTTACATTTATTAGTAAAATTGATTTAATAAAAAATTTGATAGCATAGCTCATTGCATATATATTTTATAATAATTGAATTTGACACAAATAGGCATTTAACATTTTTATGAGCCTTAGTTCACTAGATTTTTACTATTTTGTTGATTGCAATTCTAAGTGTTTCCTGATTCTTCTTTCTTCCATAGAAATAATAAATTTCATAAAGCCTGATGAGACTTCTTTCCTGAACTCCAAAATCATAGATTCAGGTATCTGCTCAGCATTTCCATGTGGATAAGTAACTGGTTTGCTTTAAACTAATTTTTGAACTCCCCATTTCTAATAATAACAGTAGTAATGATGATAATTTTATCAACTTCCCCATCTCTATTAATAACATCTATTCACTCTTTTTTTTAAATTTCTATTAGTGAAACACCATGAGGTACAGTTGTAGACTTACAAATTTTTGTGCTTGGATTTCAATTATATAATGATCAAATACCCATCCCTCCACCAGTGCCCATTTGAGTTATTGTTCATCCTCTTTTTCCTAACCCCATATTCAATCTTACAAAATCCTGTTCTTTCTAGTCTAAATGTATTCATGGTTCAATCAATTCCCTCAGTTCTCGAATTTGGCTTTTAGCCACCATCATTTCTCAACTGTGTTACTACAATAACTTGCTATCTACTCTTCCCTACTTCCATAACTATAAAAAGTGCCAAGTCATGTTACTTCTTCACTCAAACCATCTCAGTAATTTTTTACCCCACATAGAATAAAAGCTAAAGTCCTTATAATCTCCTACAAGACAGCATGGTTTGGTATCTGTTTTTAACCGTGTCTTCTATTACTATTCCTTCCCTCAGTCTTCCCACTCTAGCCACACTGGATTTGGTCCTAAAACATGTCAGATACAGTCCACCTGTGGGGCTTTTGATTAGAAATTTTTATAGGGGCTGGAGCGATAGCACAGCGGGTAGGGCGTCCGCCTTACAAGCGGCCAACATGGCCGATCCGAGTTCGATTCCTCCGCCCCTCTCGGAGAGCCCGGCAAGCTACCGAGAGTATCTCGCCTGCCCGGCAGGGCCTGGCAAGCTCCCCGCGATGTATTCGATATGCCAAACACAGTAACAACAAAGTCTCCAATGGAGATGTTACTGGGCCCGCTCGAGAAAAATCGACGATCAACGGGAGGGCCTTTACCTTTTACCTTTTACCTTACCTTTCCATTACTAACTTTATGACTAACTCCCAGCCTTCGTGAAACACCTTATTCCAATACTTCCTTCTCATTAGTGTTAGCGATAGCACAGCGGTAGGGTGTTCGCCTTACAAGCGGCCAACATGGCCGACCCGAGTTCAATTCCTCCGCCCCTCTCAGAGAGCCCAGCAAGCTACCGAGAGTATTCGATATGCCAAACACAGTAACAACAAAGTCTCCAATGGAGACGTTACTGAGCCCGCTCGAGCAAATCGACGATCAACGGGAGGGCCTTTACCTTTACCTTTTAGTGTTACCATCAATCACCTAATTCCAAATAACCATCTAAGTCCTTAACAATCTTTATTCTTTCTGTTCTACTTTTCTTCCATGGCAGTTATCAATGTGGCTCTCGAAAATATGCTTCTCAGACATCCAACTCCAAAAGCTTAATTGATGGAAAGTCCCAGCTGTTGTACTCTGAAATTCATCCCTGTATTTGCATTAAAACCATGCTTCTCAAAGGCTTCTTCTAGCCAATGATTGAGTATGGTAGGAATGCTAAAACAGAGCCATTGCTGGGAGATACAGCTCTGGTAGCCAACTTTGGTTGCAAAACTCTCTGATGACCTTGCCATCCTGCCCTGAAGATTAAACTGTTTCTACCTCAGTTTTCTTCCCTCTCTCCTTCATTCCAATCAGGCTTCCCCCACACCCTCACAATTTTTTCACAGCTCCAGTCTCTTCTGCCTACATTCCTGTTTTTATTTAAATATATGGCCATTCCCTAACAGAATTTTACATACTGTGTGTGTATGTCTGTGTGGTGCCAGATCTCAAACCCAGAGCCTCACATATGCAAAGCAAATGCTATACCACTGAGCCACATTATCCAGTCACCAAATCTAATACATTTAACTCAACTTGACATTTGTTTCTTAAAAATACTATTGATTATAGGTGATCAATAAAGATATGCATATTAAATTAAAATGCTTAAAAATATTAACAATAGGTATCATCAACAAATTGAATAAATACCAGATGATGCCAATCACTTGTCCCAACTCCCAACCCTTCTAACCTCACTGATCATTTTATTTTACTTAACCCTCTCCTACACATGAATATCCTTGGGTTTTCTCATGGCAGAATGAAATTTGAGAGGCAAATTGTTTTTAGGAAAAGAGCCAGACTATTAATTGGACAATTTCCCATCTGTTCTGGGCAGCAAATATATAATTCTGACTGAGATATTTATCACTATTGCTTGCTTGTCTTTTCTTTCTGCCAGAATATGCAGATAAACAAAGTCAGAAACATTTTAATGTTTGATTTTTTTTAAACAAATGTCCATCCAATAGTAATCAGACTTAGAATGATAAAGTCTGCAACTGCATAATTTCCCTGTCATTTGGAGATGTACAAATTATGGGCAAAAGTTACTGTCAAGTATACTTTCAAACTCTTGAAAGTGGGGGATTTCATCAAGATTTGCACACACTGGTAAGTGTTCTTGAATCTAAATATAAATGGAGACTTGGAGTTCAAGCCTTTCTCAAGGAAAAACTCATGGATGAGGCTCCAGTCTATTCCACATGCTTTCTTGGGCAAGCATTGATGAAGGAGTGGCTGTTAGAAAATTAGAACCCAGATTCCAGTCCTGGCATTGCTGCTGATTCTTCTTGCAATAATTTACTTCTCTTTTACTTAGTTTTCTCATGTTTTTAAAAGTGCAAATAACTAATGTGCACCTAGATGAATTGATGTATATTAACTAAAGTCACAATAATAATTTTATGTGTCTTTCAAGCCTTTATGTTACTCACCTGAAATTTATACAGGTATCATATCAATTATAACTCAATTAAACTGGGTAAATATGGATAGCAGCATATATCCCAGCACCTTATAAGAGATACAGGATGCATTGTTATTGTTATTAATGCATCTTATACCACTGATATCAACAATGCTGCATTGTAGCATTGTCCTCCCATTGTTCATCGATTTGTTCGAGCGGGCACCAGTAACATCTCCATTGTGAGACTTGTTACGTTTTTTAGCATATTGAATACACCATGGGGAGCTTGCCAAGCTCTGCCGTACAGGCAGGATTCTTTCCGTAGCTTGCCGGGCTCTCCGAGAGGGACGGAGGACTTGAACCTGGTTTGGCAACGTGCAAGGCAAATGTCTTACCTGCTGTGCTATTACTCCAGCCCCTCAACAATGCTAAGGAAAGTAAAGCATTCTGTCCAAGTTTGAGGTGTCCTTTTTCCAGTTGAATGTTGATGGAAGGTTCTTGATAGCACCTAACACAGCAATGAAGCTGATAGTAATTAGAGTTTACCATAACAAATTTTAATTAAAGAAATGCTAGAGGAAGTTGACATTGGTTGTGGAATTGGTAAGACTGACTAGAACATTATATGTCTAAAATTCAACTCCTAGTCATAACTCTTTGAGTAATTTTTGAAAATCATAATTCCTTAAATAACTTTTTAATGGCAGAGGAGAGAAAGGGAAGTCCCTTGAAAACTCCCCAGCCTCTGCCCTCACCTAAGAGTTTCACTGGCTTTCCCTTTCTTTCTTTCTTTAAGGGGCTAGGGAAGACCCACACAGAGAGAGACTGCATGCTTACAGACCTGCCTCAAACCTTTCAAAGGCACCCGCCTTTCTCTTGCATAACTGGTGAGGTCAAAATGGGCAAGTTCCAGAAAGAGCCAGAGTGTCATTTCTGAACATGGTCCAAGAAAGAACTGCATTCCATAAAATCCCACACAAGGAACAAACAGAGGGTGGTGTTTGGCATTTGAACCTCACTGAACAGTGCTGGTGGGCCAACTTCTTAATAGACTCACATTATCACCTTCGGTGTCTCCCCCGCCCCAGAAAGATGCCACAGTTTGCAATTCAAAACCTGAGAAACCAGTGGGAGAAGGAGGAGGAAGAGAGAAGGTAGCCTAAGATAAACGTAGAAGCATCTTGCATGTGAAAGTAACTGGAGAAGTTATCATTACTATCACTGAGAGGCAGAAAGGCAAGGGACTGGCTTGGCTCCGCCACCGTGAGACTCTGTTTGCTAGCTTCAGAGTGCAAGTAAACTAACTTTGTACAAGTGCACACAGACACCCAGCTCCAGAGAGGTGCTGTGTCTAGCCAGCGGAGGCTGATTAAACACTCAGAGCCGGGCTTCCTGTGCCACTCCTGAAAAAGAATGACTTGGGGAAGGAACGGTTAATAAGAAAATGTGCCTTGCTAACTGTGCACATTACAACAAAGAGCTGGCAGCTCCTGAAGGGAAAGGGCTTGTGCCGCTGCCGTTCAAACTTGTCAGTCAACTCGTGCCAGCAGCCTCAGCGTCTGCCTCCCCAGCACACCCTCATTACATGTGTCTGTCTGGCCTGATCTGTACATCTGCTCAGAGACGCTCCTGCCCGGCTGAGCCCGGGAATTTCTGCTCCTCTCCCTGGTGCAAAGAGTGACTTTCTCCTCTGCGTCTCTTCTGCCACCCCCGGGGATCCTCGCTCCAAGGAGGTTCCTGCTTATGGTCGCTTCGGACTTGCTCCACCGGCTGCTTGTCCTTGACTTCTAGAATGGAAGAAGCCGAACTGGTGAAGGAAAGACTCCAGGCCATCACGGTGAGTCCTCCGGCACTCCTAACTGCTGCTGGTCACTGTCCAGACCCAGGGCAGGAGCGCTGCCGGCTGCCCCTGTCGCCGAGCCCCAGTAAATGGAAAAACAGAACTGTCATCCTTCAGGGACACATCTCTGCTGCTCTCTTAACCCTCGTGACCCTCGGGGACTCTCGGCGGCGGGCAGAATCTGAGTACAGGGCAAAAGTGCTAGATTTTCGCAAACGTGCCGGTGTCCCAGTTTTCAAGCAGCTAGCAGAGGTTTTTAAGGCAGCTTGGCTCGTTGTCACTGACCCTCTATAAATAGCATTAAAATGAAGCTTTTCCTTAAATTTCTGTTTGACAGAACGGAGTTCCCCCAAATTAGAAACTTTTTTAAAAATAGCTAAAGTATCCAAAAAGGTTGTTGTTGTTTTTTTTTTACATCTTTTAAAGAGAGAGAGAAAAGAAATGACCTGAACTATTTTATCTGTAGTAGGGTAGAATGTTCCAGAAAGCCTGGCAAGAATGAAAAGTAATGTTGTACTTAAGCTAGGCATTAAACAAGAGAAAAGGCAGGTAAAAGCACGAATCAGATTAATTCTAAAGTATTACTTTTCAGCAGAGTCACAAGCTGAATAAGATTCTGATAAAGGAATGCAACGCATGAAATTCAATGGATTTGAAAAATATTTTGTTAATACTGGGAAAGAAAATGCTCCATTTTTTTTTAAATGTTTGTTCTGGGAAAGAGTCAAAGAAATGAACTTTTTTTTCCTTAAATGATCCAATTTTTATTTTAATTTTATAAAATTCTCTTTTTTGGCAATAGTAACCTTGAAATCTGTGGCACACTCATTTACCATTAGAAATAGTTTATAAATAATATTTTAAGCAAAAGTTTGGAGAGCAACATTTCAATTCCTCAGCATTTTCAGAGACTGTAAATAGCTGTCAGGAAGAAAAAAAATACTTTTTTAAAGCTAATGCTGAAGTGGGCAGGATATTTTTCTTTGCTCTTCAATAATGTAAATAGTAATGCTAATAGTAATACTAATGTAGGATTTTATTAACTAGATATAATGACTCAGTTCCACACAGAAAGAACGGAATAAATTGAAATATTTTCTCAGCCAATAGTCAAGAAGCAGAAGTCCTCCTGTAAAGTTGAAATTTTCTTTTAGGACAATGCTCTTGAATTGTTTGGCTTCTAATTAGTACCTTCTACTTCCTTTAAAAAAAATTGTGTGGATTGCTGTTTGTTTTTTTGGGTTTTTTTTTTTTTTTTTTTTTTTTTTTGCTCTTTTCTGTTGTTAAACTCGACCACTGCTTCAGCTGTCCTGCTCAAAGGGGCAGGAACTCCGGCCTGCTCTGTTGTTTTTGGCCTGGACCTTTCACAGGACAGCTGTTGTCTAAAGGTTACTCGATTAGACTGTGTGAGTCGTGTGGGCACAAGCTCTGCTTTCCGTGGTGCCTCTCTCCTAATTAGCTAATTTAAATGATGGATTCCATAAAATGGACATGTAGCTCCTTGTTCCACTTTTTCCTTTTTGAACTGAATCCAAGTCTAGCTTAAGTCCTTGTTACCTCCTGAGTACCTGCTAAACACTGAATGAAGCAGCAAGTGTCCCAGTGGAATGCCCAGGCCAGCTATCCAGGAAATCCAGGAACTTTCACCGAGGTTTCCAGATCGAGAAAACAAATAAGATTCAAATGCATCACAACCAGACAGGATAGGAAAGAAGTTTCTGAATACACAGAAATGTGCTTTCATGGTGATCAAAAATAAAAATCAATGCTTTTTGACTTATTCTTTTGGCCCAAATATATCCCTTCTTTAAAAGATTAAAAGGGAAAGAGCTTATGGAAACAATTTTCCACTAGCCTCTACCTTACCAGGCTCAGTCCAGTCATATTCATCTCCAAAAAAAGGGAAAATCGAGTGATATTTCCATGGAAACAACACATTCTCTGGTCTGCCTCCTGGATGTCCTGGGAAATGCCAGTTTTCTCCACCCTTCACCTACCAGGAAGCCACCTCAGACACTGCCCTTCCCTCCGGGAAAATTTAAGCTGATGGCATCAATAGAGTTTTCTGGGTTTGGGTCTTTTTTTTTTCTCTTTTGGAAAACTTAAAAGTCTTCAGAATCACTGACCTAACTAAAACTTGGTGGCAAACATCATTTAACAATTTTCCTATCCACTGCACTGAAATAAATTTTGTATACTTAAAAAATATCCTAAAACACTTGCTTAAGGTATCCAGATTCAGAAATTCACAGGCTTAATTTTACCAAGAAAAAGAAATTTTTTTAGACTTCTAAGTCCTTTTAGACTTAATAGAAAATTTTGTTTTTCAAATTTTAGGCTGTGATACTATTGATTTACTCTATTGATTTACTCCAGCTAGTTTCTGATGATGTTAAGAAAGTCGTTATTTCCACCATAACTTTAAATGCAAAAGCAAATGTCTATGTCTGGTACTTTTATAGAACCAAGCAACAGCTTCCTTATTCCTATAAAAATATATTAAAATAAAAAAGATTAAATACAGTAAATACCTGGAATATGGTATTTGGGCTCTCAAATTGAATACAGAATCACTGTGATATGTCATTCATTTTTCATAGGAGTAAATTGAATTTTAATTAGTCAGAAGCCTTCTCAAAGACTTTTTTTAAAAAATTAAACTATGAAAATAAAGAAACAATTGTTGAAAAGAAGATACTTCAGTTTTCCTGCACCAGATATGAATTCTACTTTTGCCTATTTACTCTCGTATTCCTCCATATGACTTTCTCCACCTTCCAGCTCTTCCTTGTTAATAAGTTATTGGTCCAAGTATCTCTTAGTCAAGAATTCAGTTTTCAAAAAATAACTCAAAAACAGAGTTATTTCAAGCTGATTAAAGATTACATTAATTAAAATATCTCTTTAGGCTCTTTGTTAGTATACATTTTAACTAATAACTTTATAAAAATAGATTTAACTAATAGATTTTTTACATAGAAAGGGGTTATTTAAATGGACCAGTGATTTCTTGTTTCATTTTCTTTGTTTTGGAGTCATAGTCAATTGTGCTCAGGTACGACTACCTGCTCTGCGCTCAAGAATGGGCCCCCGGACTGGAGCAATAGTACAGCGGGTAGGGTGTTTGCCTTGCACTCGGGAGACCTGGGTTCGATTCCCAGCATCCCATATGGTCCCCTGAGCATTGCCAGGAGTAATTCCTAAGTGCAAAGCCAGGAGTAACCTCTGTGCATCAACAGGTGTGAGAAAAAAAAATAAATAAATAAAAAAAGAATGGGCCCCAATGCTGTTCTGAGGACATATGTAGTCCTGGAGACTTGAACAAGGAGATCCACATACAAGACATGTAACTTAACCCTTGTACTGTCTCTTGATCCCAAGACTGGTAATTTTAAATTGACTTTACTATCACCTAAACCGATGAACAATGTCTTTGGCATTCTGGAGAAAAGCAAGAAAAAGGTCCCACTGTTATATCCAGAAATTTCCAGTCTAGAAGTAAGCTTGTCCCACACTAAAAAACAATGGAGAGGACTGGATGAAATTCCCTCTGGAACAGAAAGATCCCCTTAGCATTAATAAATCTATATAATCTCTTGGCATCCTCTTCTCCAAGGAACACATTGTCTTATACTAACTTCTACAGTGACCTTAGGAAACACTACTACTAAATTTTGTCTCACCACTAGAGCTGAAATTCCTAAACTGTCTAGAGATCACAGTCTTACAAAAAGAGTAGTTTGAGGAGAGAGAGAGCTCAGGACAATTCTCCTAAGAGCTAAAATAAATTTGTACGCAGTTGGGGAGAAAATAAGTAAGGATCAAAAAAGTTGACAAGGTTTACCTGGAGCGATAGCACAGCAGTCCAGGGCATTTGCCTTGCACGCGGCCAACATGGCCAACCCGAGTTCGATTCCTCCGCCCCTCTCGGAGAGCCTGGCAAGATACCGAGAGTATCTCGCCCTCACGGCAGAGTCTGGCAAGCTCCCCGTGACGTATTCGATATACCAAACACAGTAACAACAAGTCTCACGATGGAAACGTTACTGGGCCCACTCGAGCCAATTGATGAACAATGGGAGGACCGTGACCGTGACCTTTAACCATTAAAAATGTCTGCTATTAATTCATTCTCTCATTCTCTTATTTAATTAAGAGTTACTGAGCACTTACTCTCAAATGCTCAGATATACGCTCCAAATGCACCAAATATACACTCTTAAAAGAGAAAGAGTGAAATAAGGAGAAGCAAAAGTGCCAAATAGGATGAGAGTGGGGTTCCATTTGCAGCAAAAATGTCATGATGGGCCTCAGAGACAAGGTAACTCTGGGACAGGAGGTAAACTTTATCAAAAACTGGACGATAGAAATAATCACAAGAACAAGTACCTGCCCTGCACTGACTTCACTGGGAAAGGAGCCACTGAAGTCCTGACTATGGAATTTAAGCAACAGCCACATTTGGCAGCCAAAACTGCTCCTGACGCAAAATAATAAGGAGCACTCACATTACCCCGATCTACTCCCTATTTCTTTCCATTCCTGAAGAATTTTTTCTGAATTTGTAAATTTGGGAATTCTGAGTACAGAAAGTTCTTTGGAAAAAAAAAAGCAACAAATCTATCCAACATGTAGATAAGCCTTTTAAAATAATAATACAAATAACTACAGGCTCTAGTTCTTTCTTCAGCATGTATGGCCTGTCACCCAGTCACCTCATCATACTTTTCTTCTGTCTGTATCTTAGATATGATTGGTAATGATCTCAAAACTGGAATTGGTAATTAATAATTTGAAGATTCTACTATGTAGAAAAACATGGAAACCCATATTTATTCAAGGGGCCCAGTGATGGCAGAACAGTTGGTCCAAGTCTAAGGTCTCTTTAAAGGAAAAGTAAAATGTTTAAATATCACAGAGCAACAGCAGAGTATGAAAATAAGTCTTTGCTCTCTTGAATGTGATTGTGTGCAAACTTTTCAGACTTTACAGGTAGC